ACCTCTCCGCCACATTCAAGAAAACCTGTAATGGTGATCTTCCCCCAGACCCCCTTCAGGGGCTCTTCTAATCACTCTCTGAGGCTGCCTTCAAGGGAGACAGACAAGCATGACGCCAGCGGTGGCAGATGAAGGCCGGGTCAGCGCAACCTCTGAGTTCCCTCCTCTGATCATGCTTGAAAAGAGACAGGCTCAGCTCCATTGAGACAACTAGAGGGTGATTAAATTATTCTCCTAAGAGCCTTGGAGAGGCCTTTCAGTGACACTTCAACCCAGTTTTTCTGGAAAAAGTAGTACCACAGACAGGTGGTGACCATGTGAAGATGGATCAACCATACGTCCCAAATATAGCAGCTCCTTCTCCTCAAAACCCCACAGAACGCAGTGCATTAGTCTCACAGACCTTGTCTTTACAAATGGCATTTTTAGATTTCAGAAAGCTTCTAAAACCATCAGGTTTTTGTTGCTTAAGTTATGACTTTGAATAAGTTAAAAAAAATCTTTTAGGAGAGAGAAAATGCAAAACATAGCTGACAGATTTCTTAAGGGTGGCTGTATGTTGAAGCAGGAATAATTCTCACTGGAGAATGACATGTGAATTGCAGCTCCCGCTCTTCCTCCTACTAGCTGGTAAAAACTAGACCTCTCTGAAATTGTCTGGGTTTCAGACTCTATCTACATGAATATTTTTCATTGAATCATGTATCATAGAGATTTTCTTACATGAATACATCATCTACCTTATTCATTTTAATGGTTATGCAATATATTCCAAAGTATTGATGTATCATAATTTAACAATTCTCATATTGAAGCTATCTTCTCATTTTTTTTTTTCTACACAAAACAATGTAGCAATGAACTAGCTTGCCCATAGATCTATACAAAGTTTGGAGAACTTTCTTTCTCATTATACTTTGAATTCTGGGATACATGTGCAGAATGTGCAGGTTTGTTACGTAGGTATATATGTGCCATGGTGGTTTGCTGCACCCATCAACCCATCACCTACATTAGGTATTTCCGCTAATGCTATCACTCCCCTAGACCCTCATGCCCCAACTGGCCCTGGTGTGTGATATTCCCCTCCCTGTGTCCATGTGTTCTAATTGTTCAACTTCCACTTACGAGTCTGAACATGCAGTGTTTGGTTTTCTGTTCTTGTGTCAGTTTACTGAGAATGATGGTTTCCAGCTTCATCCATGTCCCTGCAAAGGATATGAACTCATCCTTTTTATGACTGTATAGTATTTCATGTGCCACACTTTCTTCATCCAGTCTATCATTGATGAGCATTTGGTTTGGTTCCAAGTCTTTGCTATTGTGAACAGTGCCTCAATAAACATATGCGTGCATGTGTCTTTATAATAGAATGATTTATAGTCCTTTGGATATATACCCAGTAATGGGATTGCTGGGTTAAATGGTATTTCTCGTTCTAGATCCTTGAGGAATTGCCACACTGTGCCTGCAATGTTTGAACTAATTTGCGTTTCCACCAACAGCGTAAAACCATTTCTATTTTGGAGAACATTTTTATGGGATAGATGAGAAGTAATTGAATTGCTGATTAAATGGCAAGAACATTTAATATTTTAATAGTTTCCACAAATTTTCCACCAAAAATGTTGTGTCTGATTTACCCATCCTCTGCCTGTGTAGTTCACTTCCCCACAACATTGCAAATTATGTATTACCAACTCCATTTTAAAGATGAGGAACCAGAGACAGGTTAAGTTTTTTAATGTCACACAGGTATCTCAGATAATCTAATGAAGAACTTCCCAAGGTGGGATTGTTTTGGTTTCACTCTCTGTGCCATGAGGGCTTCTCTAAGCATCCACTGGTTTTTGTGGTCCTTGGAAAAACAGTTTATTCATGGCAGGATGATAGAAAGCTGGAATCCTGCAGGGAGACATTGGGATTGGAATGGTAGTACCATGAGTCACATTGTACAAGCAAGGTCATGACTAGAGAAGTCATTATTTTAATTGGTTTTATTGAATGTCGGTTAGACACACAAAATATATATACAATACATATATTAAATATAAAATAAACATAATTATATATGTAATTTATATACATTTATATTGTAATAGGTATTTGTAAATTATATATAATTATATTTATTTTATATTTAATATACATATTGTATATATATATTTTATATATAATATAAAATTATAGGTATACATTGCAATGAATGACAGTGTATCCCCATATAGTTTAAGAAGCAGACATTGCCATAATCTTTGAAACCCAGGGAGTACCTGTACCTTCCCTAGAGGTAACCACTATACCACATTTTTGTCAATAATTGTATTGGATTTTCCTGTAGTTTTAACAATTGTGGCTAAATCCATATCAAGGCCACTATGTAATTCCTCAGAGAATATGCACTGTAAAAGATCAAGGGTTATCTGCTGATGGGGTTAGCACAGGGCCAGCACATCTCTGCCTTGCAGCTGCCCAAAAGGAATATAGTGCATTGTGTTACAAACTTCAAAATTTTATTTAAATGGAATCCTAACATATGCATTCGTCTGCAACTTGCTTTGCACTACTCCACATACCCTCCTGAGAGTGAGCCACCATATGCTCACTGCTATAGTTCATTTACTTTCACTGCTATACAGTATTGCATGGGATAAATGTATCCAAATCTTTAGGTATTCTCTTGTCATTGGGCATTTGGCATGTTTCTGAGGTTTTGCTGTTGTAAACAGTGCTGTTATGAACATTTTGTAGATATTCCCTAGAGCACATCATGTATGCAAGCATTCCATGAATTCCTAGGAAAGGAGCTCTTGCATTTTTGAAATGCACAACTTCAATTTTACTGAATAAATGCCAGATTGCTATATCACAGCAATAGATGGATTTTTTCCTAACATCCTTGCCAAAACTTGATATTGTGAGACTTTGAAATTTTTGACAATTTAGTGGATGTAAAAACAGCATTTAATTGTGGTTTTAACTTTCATTTTCTTAACTAATAATGAGTTGAGTATATTTTCATGTATTTTTAACCAGTGGCATTTCTTCACAAAGTGTTCCTTTAAGTCTTCTGTGTTTCTCTTTTGTGAATTACCTTTTTCCTATTAGTTCGTAGTAGTTCTTTAAATATTCTGTGCTCTATTCCTTTGTCAGTGATACATGTTGCAATTTTTTTTCAGTTTATGGTTTATGTTCGTTTAAAGCATATTTCCTTATTACAGTCAGACGTTCTTAGTTTTAATACATTTGCTTTTTTATGATTTGCGTTTTTGAATCTTAAGACACTCATTTCTATTCTGAAGTCAAAGATATTCTTTCATATGGTATTCTAAAATGTTTATAGTTTTGTGTTACAGATTTAAATATTTAAAGCATCTGGAATGAATTTTTAAGTATGATATGAGGTAATACTCTAGTTTGTTTCTTTCATTTTTTTCTCTACTCCACATGTGGATAAGCGATTGTCTCAGATCATTATAAAGCTCATGCTTTCATACTTTCTCCATGATTGCTATGCCACACGTCTGTTTCATATGCACACATATGTTTATGGCCTTTCCATTCTGCTTGATCGGTCTTCTAAGACTGCACAAATGCTATATTTTCTTAATACCACTTTTTAATAAGTTTGGTGGGGTAGAACTTCCTACGCCATATTGAATAGCTCTCTGCTCTGTGTTTTCTTCCTTTCACTCACACTGTGGCCACTCCAATTGAATTCTTTGCTCACTATATTTCATCCTTTTTGTAGAAACTACTTGTCAAGTACCATAAAATGCTTTGAAGATCTGAGTTGGATTTACGCTGAACTCATCAAAGGAGATAATTGACACCTTTATGCTCTGAGTATTCTGATTTGTGAAAATTGTATGTTTTTTCATTTATTTGAATTTGCCTTAATGTCTTTTAATACAGCTTTATAATTTTCTTCATAAAAAACTTAAAAACTTGTACTAGATTTATTCCTAGGTACTTTATAGTTTCAGGGTGCTTAAGTAGTATCTTCCATTTAATTATAGTTTAAAAATATTTGCTATCTTTGTATATAAATGATTGTTAAATCAGACAACTTTGCTAAATATACTTATTAATTGTAATAATTTATCTGTTTCCTTTAACAATCCTATTGTCTATAACATTTCCTTTCTTCCTTCCTCTTTTCTTTCCCTTGTTTCATATTCTTAAGCTTTCCATTTATTTATCAATTCCTATTGTATGGTAAATCACTAGTAAATGTTGACTAGAAATGGTGATGACAGGCACTCTAGAATTTTCCTGTTCATAAAGAAAATGCTTCCATTTTTCCATGTATTTAGTGTGATTCATGTTTTAAATTGTTTGTAGATAACTTTTGCTGGTTAAAAAGACTCACCTCTATTTTTAGTTTGATAAGACTGTATTTTTAAAATATGAAATCAATTTTGCTTTTATCAAATAAAAATTCTGGAATTATTCTCTTTTAAACTTAATATAGAACTTATATAAAGTGATTCCTAGTGTTAGATTAACCCTCCATCTCTAATAGTGTAGCATGTTTTTGTTTCCACACATTTTTATTTGGTTTGTTCACATTTATTTAAATATTTTTGCATTTAAGTTCATGAGTAATATGGGTCTATAGTGTTTTTCTCTTGCAAAATGAGTTGTAGAATATTTCCACTGTTTTATCACCTGGAATATTTGTCAAATTAGAATTATTTTTTTCCTTGAGCGTTAGGCCTAATAGAGAAAACCATCTGAGACCTTTTCTGAATAGAAAGACTTTTAATTGCTGATTTAATTTATTGAATAGTTACAGGATTATTTACACTATTCGGTTTTTCTGGTGTTGATTCTTTGCTTTGTTGTTGTTTGGGACAGAATCTCACTCTGTTGCCAGGCTGGAGTGCAGTGGCGCAATCTTGGCTCATTGCAACCTTCGCTTCCCAGGTTCACGCAATTCTCCTGCCTCAGCCTCCCAAGTAGCTGGGACTACAGGTGCACACCACCACACCCAACTAATTTTTGTATTTTTAGTAAAGACAGGGTTTCACCATGTTGGCCAGGATGGGTGTCGATCTCTTAACCTGGTGATCCAATAGCCTCGGCCTCCCAAAGTGCTGGGGCTACAGGAGTAGGCCACCATACCCGGCTGATTCTTATATTTTTAAGTAATTTGTGGATTTTTGCTTGTTTTCAAATGTATTGGTATAAGATTATTTATCAAATCCTTTTATTTTTTTTGTGCAGTCTCCGTGGTTACATACATTTATGACTTCTAATATTGATGACGTCCCTCTCCATCAGTTGTGCAGAGGATCTGTCAGTTTTCATGGAATTGCTCTCTGCTCTGTGTTTCCTTTCTTTCATTCATGCTGTGGCCACTCAAATCGGTTTCTTTGCTCATTATATTTCATACTTTTTGTAGTCTGTTATAAATTATTAGGCTATACATTTTCCTCTGAATACTGCTGTAGCTGTATCCCACAATTTTGTTATACAGATTGAGCATCCCTAATCTGAATAACTGAAATCCAAAATAGTCCAGTATCTGAAACATTTTGAGCTCTGACATGTTGCCACAGGTGTGTGTGACACCTTTGCTTCTCACGGTTCAATGTATACACATTTTGTTTTCATATACAAAGTTATTAGAAATATTGTATAAACTTACTTTAGGCTATAGGTATAAGGTGTAGGTAAAACATAAATGATTTTTGTATTTAGACTTGGGTCCTAACCCAAATATATTTCATTGTGTAAATGTAAATGTTCCAAAATCTGAAATCCAAAATGCTGTTAGTGCATGCATTTCAGATGAGAAATATTCAAACTGCACAGTACTTTCATTATTGCTCAACTTGAAGTATTTTAAGATAATAATAACTTACTTGATCCACAAATAATTTAAACAAACTATATTTTTAAAAATAATATTTATCTTTTTGTTATTCCTTTCTAATATATAAGAATATAAAGCTATATGAGAAATTCTGAGAATTAAATTTTATATTTTTATTAGTGATTTTTAATTTAATTTTATTAATTCTTTTTAAAATTGTTTATTTATTTAAATTTTACTTTTCGATAAGTTATTGGTGTACAGGTGGCGTTTGATTACATGAGTAAGTTCTTTAGTGGTGATTTGTAAGATTTTGGTGTATTCATTAACCAAGCTTTTACCCTGCACCATATTTATAGTGTCTTATCCCTTGCCCTCTTTCCATTTCTCCCCCCAAGTCCCCAAAGTCCATTGTATCATTCTTACGCCTTTGTGTTCTCATAGCTTAGCTCCCACATACCAGTGAGAACATATGATGTGTGGTTTTCCACTCTTGAGGTCCTTCACTTAGAATAATCTCATCCAGGTCACCGCAAATGCAGTGGTATATACATACCACAAACTGTATATACTACAGTTTCTTTATCCACTTGTTGACTGATGGGCATTTGGGTTGGTTCCACGATTTTGCAATTGTGAATTGTGCCACTATAAACATGTAGGTGCAAGTGTCTTTTTCAAATAATGGCTTCTTTTCCTCTGGGCAGATACCCAGTAGTAGGATTACTTAATCAAATGGTAGTTCTACTTTAGTTCTTTTTCTTTTTTTTAATCGTACATTAAGTTCTGGGGTACATGCGCAGATCTTGCAGGATTGTTGCATAGGTACAGACATGCCATGGTGGTTTGCTGCCTCCATCCCCCCATCAGCTACATCAGGCATTTCTTCCAATGTTATCCCTTCCCAACCTCCTCACCCCACACTGTCCCTTTCCTAACCCCCCACCCACCAACAGACCCCAGTGAGTGATGTTCCCCTCCCTGTGCCCATGTGTTATCATTGTTCAATACCCACCTCTGAGTGAGAACATGTAATGTTTGGTTTTCTATTCTTGTGTCAGTTTGCTGAGAATGATGCTTTCCAGATTCATCCATATCCCTACAAAGGATATGACCTCATCCTTTTTTATGGCTGCATAGTATTCCATGGTGTATATGTGCCACATTTTCTTCATCCAGTCTATCATTGATAGGCATTTGTGTTGATTCCAGGTCTTTGCTATTGCAGTGTCTCAATGAACATATGTATGCCATGTGTCTTTATAAAAGAACAATTTGTAATCCTTTGGGCATATATCCAGTAATGAGATTTCTGGGTCAAATGGAATTTCTATTTCTAGAAATAGTAGATTCTGGATATTAGCCCTTTGTCTGAAGGGTATATTGCAAAAAATTTTTCCCATTCTGTTGGTTGCCGGTTCACTCTAATGATTTTTTCTTTTGCTGTGCAGAAGCTCTTAATTAGATCCCATTTGCCTAGTTTGGTTTTTGTTGTCATTACTTTGGGTGTTTTTGTCATGAAGTCCTTGCCTATGCCTGTGTCCTGGATGGTGTTGCCTAGGTTTTCTTTTAGGGTTTTTATGGTGTTAGGTCTTATGTTTAAATCTTTAATTCATCTTTTTGCTTAGGATTTTCTTGGCTGTGTGGGCTCTCTTTTGGTTCCATAAAAAGTTTAAAGTGGGTTTTTCCAGTTCTCTGAAATAGATCAATGATAGCTTAATGGGGATAGCACTGAATCTATAAATTACTTTGGGCAGTATGGCCATTTTCACAATATTGATTCTTCCTAACCATGAGCATGGAATGTATTTCCATCTGTTTGTGTCCTCTCTTATTTCCTTGAGCAGTGACTTGTAGTTCTCCTTGAAGAGGTCATTCACATGCCTTGTAGTTGTATTCCTGGGTATTTTATTCTCTTTGTAGTAATTGTGAATGGGAGTTCACTCGATTTGGCTCTCTGTTTGTCTGTTATTGGTGTATAGGAATAATTGTGATGTCTGTACATTTGTTTTGTATCCCGAGGCTTGGCTGAAGTCACTTTTCAGCTTAAGGAGATTTTGGGCTGAGATGATGGGGTCTTCTAAATATACAATCATGTCATCTACAAATAGAGACAATTTGACTTCCTCTTTTCCTGACTGAATACCCTTTATTTCTTTTTCTTGGCTGATTGTTCTGGCTAGAACTTCCAATACTATATTGAATAGGAATGGTGAGAGAGGGCATCCTTGTCTATGTCTTCCAGTTTTTGCCCATTCAGTATGATATTGGCTGTGGGTTTGTCATAATAGCTTTTATTATTTTGAGCTACGTTCCACCAATACCTAGTTTATTGAGAGTTTTTAACATAAAGGGCTGTAGAATTTTGTCAAGGCCTTCTCTGCATCTATTGAGATAATCATGTGGTTTTTGTCTTTCATTCTGTTTATGTGATGGATTATATTTCTAGATTTGTGTATGTTGAACCAGCCTTGCACCCCCGGGATGAATCCTACTTGATCATGATGGAGAAGCTTTTTGATGTGGTGTTGCATGTGGTTTGCCAGTTTTTATTGAAGATTTTTGCATTGATATTCATCATGGATATTGGCCTGAAGTTTTCTTTTTTAGTTATGTCTCTGCCAGGTTTTGGTATCAGGATGATGTTTGTCTTATAAAAGGAGTTAGGAAGGATTCTCTCTTTTAGTTTTGTTTGGAATAGTTTCACAAGGGATGGTACCAGCTCCTCTTTGTCTGGTAGAATTTGGTAGTGAACCCATCTGGACCTGGGCTTTTTTTGGTTGGTAGGCTGTTAATTGCTTCCTCAACTTCAGACCTCGTTATTGGTCTCTTCAGGGATTCAATTTCTTCCTGTTTTTGTCTTGGGAGGGTGTAAATGTCCAGGAGTTTATCCATTTCTTCCAGATTTACTGGTTTAGTTGTGTAGAGTTGTTTGTAGTAATCTCTGATGGTAGTTTGTATTTCTGTAGAATTGGTGGTAATATCCCCTATATCATTTTTACTGCATCTGTTTGATTCTTCTCTCACTCTCTCTTTTTTTTAATTAGTCTGGCTAGTGGTTTGTCTACTTTGTTGATCTTTTAAAAAAACCAGCTCTTGGATTTATGATTTTTTGAAGGGGTTTTTGTTTGCCTATCTTCTTCAGTTCTGCTCTGATCTTAGTTATTTTTTTCTTCTGTTAGCTTTTGAATTTTTTTGATCTTGCTCCTCCAGCTCTTTCAATTTTGGTGATAGGGTGTCGATTTTAGATCTTTCCTCACTTCTCATGTGGGCATTTATTGCTATAAATTTCCCTCCAGACACCACTTTACATGTGTCCCTGATATTCTGGTATGTTGTGTGTTCATTCTCATTGGTTTCAAAGAACATCTTTATTTCTGCCTTCATTTCATTGTTTATCCAGTTGTCATTCAGGATCAAGTTGTTCAGTTGCCATATAGTTGTGCGGTTTTGAGTCAGTTTCTTAATCCTGAGTTCTAATTTGATTGCACTGTTGTCTGAGAGACTGTTTGTTATGATTTCTGTTCTTTTGCATTTGCTGAGGAGTGATTTTCTTCCAATTATGTGGTCAGTTTTAGAATAGATATGATGTGGTGCTGAGAAGAATATATATTCTTTGGATTTGGGGTGGAGAGTCCTGTAGATGTCTATTAGGTCCACTTGGTCCAGATCTGTGTTCAAGTCCTGGATATCCTTGTTGATTTTCTGTCTCATTAATCTGTCTAATATTAGACAGTGGAATGTTAAAGTCTTCCACTGTTATTGTATGAGAGTCTAAATCTCTTTATAGGTCATTAAGAACTTGCTTTATGTATCTAGGTGCTCCTATATTGGGTGCATATATATTCAGGATAGTTAGCTCTTCTTGTTGCATTGATCCTTTTACCATTGCATAATGCCCTTCTTTGTCTCTTTTGATCTTTGTTGGTTTAAAGTCTGTTTTATCAGAGACTAGGATTGCAACCCACGCTTTTTTTTCTCTCCATTTTCTTCTTCTTCCATCCCTTTATTTTAAGTCTATGTGTGTCTTTGCACATGAGGTGGGTCTCCTACATATAGCACACCAATGGATCTTGACTTTTTATCCAGTTTGCCAGTCTGTGTCTTTTGATTGGTGCATTTAGGCTATTTACATTTAATGTTAATATTGTTATGTGTGAGTTTGATTCTGCCATTTTCTTACTGGCTGGTTGTTTTGCCTGTTAGTTGACACAGTTTCTTCATTGTGTTGTTGGTCTTTACCATTTGTTACGTTTTTGCAGTGGCTAGTACTGGTTGTTCCTTTCCATGTTTAGCGTTTTTTTCAGGAGCTCTTGTAAAACAGGTCTGGTGGTGACAAAATCTCTCAGCAACTGCTTGCCTGGAAGGCTTTTATTTCTCCTTCAGTTATGAAGCATAGTTAGGCTGGATATGAAATTCTGGGTTGAAAGTTCTTTTCTTTAAAGATGTTGAATATTGGCCCCTACTCTCTTCTGGCTTGTAGGGTTTCTGCTGAGAGATCCTCAGTGAGTCTGATGGGCTTCCCTTTGTGGGTAACCCAACCTTTCTCTCTGGCTGCCCTTAGCATTTTTTCCTTCATTTCCACCCTGGTGAATCTGAAGATTATATGCCTTCGGGTTGCTCTTCTTGAGGAATATCTTTGTGGTTTTCTCTGTATTTCCTGGATTTGGATGTTGGTCTGCCTTTGCAAGGCTGGGGAAATTCTCCTGGATAATATCCTAAAGAGTGTTTTCCAGCTTGGATTCATTCTCCCCATCACATTCAGGTACACCGATCAAGTGTTGATTAGGTTTTTCACATAATCCCATATTTCTTGGAGGTCTTGTTCATTTCTTTTCACTCTTTTTTCTCTAATCTTGCCTTCTCGTTTTATTTCATTGAGTTGATATTCAATCTCTGATATCCTTTCTTCTGCCTAATCGATTTGGTGATTGAAACTAGTGTATGTTATGTGACGTTCTTGTGTTGTGTTTTTCAGCTTCATCAAGTTGTTTATGTTCTTCTCTAAGCTTGTTATTCTAGTTAGCATTTTGCCTAACTTTTTTTCAACATTTTTAGTTTCTTTGCATTGGGTTAGAACATGTTCCTTTAGCTCAGAGAAGTTTGTTATTACCTACCTTCTGAGGACTGCTTCTGTAATTCATCAAACTCATTCTCCATCCTGTTTTGTTCCTTTGCTAGTGAGGAGTTTTGATCCCTTGGAGGAGAAGAGGCATTCTGGTCTCTGATGGTTTCATCCTTTTTGCACTGGTTTCTTCCCATCTTCATGGATTTATCTTCCTTTGGTCCTTGAAGTTGGTGATTTTGGATGGGGTCTCTAAGTAGTTGTCCTTTCTGTTGATGTTGAAACTATTTCTTTTTGTTTTTTTAGTTTTCTTTCTAACAGTCAAGCCCCTCTGCTGTAGGACTGCTGGAGGTTCACTCCAGACCTTGCTTGCCTGGCAATCACCAACGGGGGCTCCAAAACAGCAACTATTGCTGCCTGATATTTCCTCTGGTAGCTTTGTCCCAGAAGAGTACTCACCAGTTGTCAGCCTGAGATCTCCTGTATGTGGTGTCTTTTTGGTTATGCAGGGGTCAGAGAGTCGCTTGAGGAGACAGTCTGTCCCTTGTCTGCCTGCAGAGGCACTACTGGGCTGCCACAGGCTCAGTCCAGCTGTTAGGTAAGCTTCCTCTGACTTTTGTTTACACAGATAAGATCAGCTATGGTGGACGCCCTTCCCCCCACTGAGCTCAAACAAATATGCTGGCTGTGAAACTCTCAAGCAAGAGGGCTTCAGTTTGCTGGTCTTTGTGGGGGTGGGACCTACCAAGCAGTATCACGTGTCACCCTGCTTTCAGCTCCCACTCTTTCAGGGGAGTGGGAAGTTCTGTCCAGCAGGCACTCTTGGTGCTTGTCAAAACGTCTACCCAGATCTGGGCCAACAACCTGTGGCCCTGGCCAGAGCTGCAGTTCAGATCTGTGCTAGTAACTCATGATGCCTTTCAGCCTGGCCAGGATCTCCTTGTCTGTGGGTTGCAAAGGCCATGAGAGAAGTGCAGTATCTGAACTAGAAAACTGGAGTACCGGGGGGAAGAATTCCTGACCCTCTATCCAGTTGCACTTCCTGGGTGGGGCAGCACCACACCCTGCCTCAGTTTGCCCTCCTTCAACTACACCCACTGTCCAACCAGTCCCATTGCAAAGAACCTGGTACCTGGGTTGGAAATGTGGAGATTGCTCACCTTCCGCATGCTTTGCTGGGAACTGCCCTCCAGAGCTGTTTCTATTTGGCCATCTTGGCAGAACTCTCTAATTTTATTAATTCTTTAGTGTTTGAATTACAGCCCAGTTGGTTAATTTTATAAATGTTATATATGTGCTGAAGAAAAATTTGTGTTTTCTACTGGCATGGTTAAAGTGTTACCTTTGTGTGTTTAAGTTTGTTAGCTGCATTGCTTTAATTTTACATGTGCAGACTTTGTATTTTCCTGATACATTATCTACTATAAAAAAAAGTTTCAAAATCTCCACCTACGATATTGCTTTTGTTGTTGATGATGGATTTTTCTTCTAGTTCTTTTAATTTTTGGTTACCGTATATTAAACTTGTTGTTATATACACGCAACTTTTTAATTATTATATATTCCTTAATAATAAAACCTTTAACTATTCAATAATATTTCTATTAGACTCTAAGAGATTAATAGTGTTAATGCTTATGCCTTTCTGTATTTTTACTATTAATAGAGAGCTATATAATGACTTTGGTTAGGACTTGCCTGGTATAATTTTCTTTATTCTTTTAGCCTTATTCTTTTTTGGGACGGAGTTTCGCTCTTGTTACCCAGGCTGGAGTGCAATGGTGCGATCTCGGCTCACCGCAACCTCTGCCTCCTGGGTTCAGGCAATTCTCCTGCCTCAGCCTCCTGAGTAGCTGGGATTACAGGCACGTGTCACCATGCCCAGCTAATTTTTTGTATTTTTAGTAGAGACGGGGTTTCACCGTGTTGACCAAGTTGGTCTCGATCTCTTGACCTCGTGATCCACCCGCCTCGGCCTCCCAAAGTGCTGGGATTTCAGGCTTGAGCCACCGCGCCCGGCCAGCCTAATTCTTTCTAATAGTCATCATTCAGAAATGTTTCTTATGGTTACCATAAAGTTAGCTTCTGTTTATTCATCTTGTCTGACAATCTTTGTCTTAATACTTGAATGTAGTTCTTTTATATTCATTCTAAGTATCATTATAATTACATTTTTATTGACATCATTTATTTTGAGCCTTTTGTGTATTATGCATTTCCTATGCTTTTTAACTTTCCTTTTCCCCTTCTTTTTGATTGCTTCTGTAAATTTTCTCATTGCACCTTTTTCTCTCTACTATTTTGGAACTGATTTGTTCTGTCTTCTGTTCTGTTAATGGTCACCTCAGAAATTTAAGATGCTTGTTATCCTTACATCTGCCCTAAACAATACAAGGACTAACAATAAATTAGCAGCAGTCTCATGACTTCCTTATGATATATTATTTCCAGTGATTGCTTTTTCCTGTGTTGGTAAAAAAATATTAATATTGTCTTATATAGCCAGTGTTTGGATAAATTTACCTCCACTTTCCCTTTTTTTGTATTTTTTTTTTTTTTTGATTGTTTGTTTTTTTTTTTATTCTCACATCTGAGATCTTCCTTCTGATTGTTTTCAGTTTACCTTTAGGATAACCTTACAATATCATTTAGTAAAGGTATTTTGAGCACAGTGTTTAGTTTTTGTTAATCTGATTTTTTTCCTTCATCTACTTTTAGAAAGATGTTTTCACTGGATCTATTTTGTCTCAGCACATTCAAGATATTATTCCACTGTCCTCTGACTTCCATTTTCTATTTGTCATTCTTTTATTGCCTATTTGTCTTTTCTATTTGAAGGTTTTTAAGATTGTCTCTGTTTTTCCTTAGTATTGTGCAGTTTCACAGTTATGTTTCTAATGTGGATTTAATTTTGTTCTTATTCTGTTTGCTTTTGTAATGTAAGTATTAATGTCATTTATCAGTCTAAAGTTTCTTAGTCATTATTTCTTCAAATATCATCTTTCCCCAGCTCACTTCAACTTTCTCGTCCTCCAATTAGCCAAACATGAGATTTCTTTCTCTCCTTCATGTATTCTAAATCTCTTTTGTAATTTATTGAATCTTTGTGTTTCTATACTGCATTATAGATAATGTGTTTAAATTTAACTTCAATTTTGTTAAATATCTCTTTAGCTTTGGAAACTTTACAGTTAAAACCATCCATTGGGTTTAAAAATATTGTTTATTTATTTTATTTCATTTCATTTAACTTTCATTTCATTTTACATATATGCATAAATTTATATAATAAACATTTACACTTATTTAATTAGCAGGATAGTTTCTTATAACTGCACAAAATAATCTATGATGTCATAGTTTATTTTTTATTTATTTTATTTTATTTGTATAACTATTATTTTACTTTTGGAGTACATGTGCAGGTTTGTTTTATAGGTAAATCCATGTCAAGGGGGTTTGTTGTACATATTATATCATCATCCAGGCACTAAGCCTAGTACCCAATAGTTATTCTTTCTGATCCTTTCCCTTCTCCCACTCACCACTGTCAAGTAGGCCCCATTCTCTATTGTTCCCTTCATTGTGTCCATGAGTTCTAATCCTCTAGCTGTCACCTATAAGTGAGAATATGTGGTGTTTGGTTTTTGATCCTGTGTTAGTTTGCCAAAGATAATGTCCTCCAGTTCCATCCATGTTCCCACAAAAGATACAATCTTATTCTTCTTCATAGCTACATAGTATTCCATGATGTATATGTATCACATTTTCTTTATCCATTGATGGATATTTAGTTTGGTTTCATGTCTTTGCTATTGTGAATAGTGCTGCAGTGAACATTTATATGCATATGCCTTCATGGAAGAATAATTTCTGTTCCTTTGGGTATATTCTCGGTAATAAGATTGCTGGGTCAAATGGAAGTTCTGGTTTTAGCTCTCTGAAGAATGACCATACTGATTTCCACAATGCTTGAACAAATTTTCTTTCTCACTGACAGTGTACAAGCATTTCTTTTTCTCCACAGCCTTATCAGCATGTTATTTTTTGATGTTTTAATAAAGGTGGTTCTGACTGGTGAGATGGTATCTCATTGTGATTTTGTTCACATTTCTCTAATAATCAGTGATACTGAGCTTTTGTTCATATGCTTGTTAACTGCATCTGTCTCTTTAGAAAAGTGGCTGCTCATATATGTTGTCTGCTTTTTAATGGAGTTGGTTTTTTTTTTGTTTTGTAAATTTGTTTAAGTTCCTTGTAGATGCGGAATAGCAGACTTTTGTCAGATGCATAGTTTGCAAATATATTCTCCCATTCTGTAGGTTGTCTATTTACTCTGTTGATAGTTTCTTCTGCTCTGCAGAATCTCTTAAGTAGAGACAAAGTGGATCTAATTTGTCAATGTCTGCTTTTCTTAAATTGCTTCTGGAAGCTTCATCATAAACTCTTTGCCCATTTTTATGCCCAGAATGGTATTGCCTAGATTGTCTCCTAGGGTTTTTATAGTTTTGGGTTTTACATTTAAATCTTTAGTCCATCCTGAATTGATTTTTGTATACGGTAGGAAAGGAGTCCAGTTTTTATCTTCTTCATATGGCTAGCCAGTTATCCCTCCACCATTTACTGAATAGGAGGTCTTTTTCCCATTGCCTGTTCTTTTTCAGCTCTGTCAAAGAACAGATGGTTGTAGGTGTGTGGCTTCATTTCTGAGCTCTCTAATTTGCTCCATTGGTTGATGTGTCTGTTTCTGTACCAGTACCACGCTGTTTTGGTTACTGAAACCCTGTAGTATGGTTTGAAATTGGGTAGCACATTGCCTCCAGCTTTGTTCTTTTTGCTTAGCATTGCCCTGGCTGTTAGAGCTCCTTTATGATTCCATACGAATTTCAAAATAGTCAAAAAATATTTTTTTTTGTTCTGTGAAGAATGTCATTGGTAATTTGATGGAAAAAGTATTGAATCTGTAAATTACTTTGGGTAGTATGACCATTTTAATGATATTTTTTCTTTCTATACATGAGCATGGGATTTTTTTTGGAAGGGTTTAATTTTTTTATTATACTTTAAGTTCAAGGGTACATGTGCAGATCATGTAGGTTTCTTACATAGGTATACATGTGCAATGGTGGTTTGCTGCATCCACCCCCCTGTCATCTACATTAGGTATTTCTCCTAACGTTAGCCATCTCCAATTCCTCACCCCTTGATGTTCCTCCCCTAACCCCCCTGACTCCCACAGGCCCTGGTATGTGATGTTCCCCTCCCTGTGTCCATGTGTTCTCATTGTTCAACACTCACTTATGAGTAAGAACATGTGGTGTTTCATTTTCTGTTCTTGTGTCAATGTGCTGAGAATGATGGTTTCCAGCTTCATCCATGTCCCTGCAAAGGACAATAACTCATCCTTTTTTATGACTGCATGATATTCTTTGGTGTATATGTGCCACATTACAGTGTTGATGGGAATTTGGGTTGGTTCCAAGTCTTTATTATTGTAAACAGTGCCACAATAAACATATATGCGCATGTGTGTTTTTAATTAAGTGTTTTATAATCCTTTGGGTATACCCCGTAATAGGATCACTGGGTCAAAATGTTCTAGATCCTTAAGGATCACCACACTGTCTTCTACAGTGGTTGAACTAGTTTACGCTCCCACCAACAGCGTAAAAGCATTCCTATTTCTCCACATTATCTCCAGCATCTATTGTCTCCTAATTTTTTACTGATTGCCATTCTAACTGTTATGAGATAGTATCTCAATGTGGTTTTGATTTGCATTTCTCTAATGACCAGTGATGATGACCGTTTTTTCATATGTTTGTTGTCTGCATAAATGTCTTCTTTTGAGAAGTGTCTGTTTATATCCTTTACCCACTTTTTTGATAAGGTTGTTTGTTTTTTCTTGTAAATTTGCTTAAGTTCTTTGTAGATTCTGAATATTAGCCCTTTGTCTGATGGGTAGATTGCAATTTTTCTTTCCCATTCTGTTGGTTGCCGGTTCACATTAATGACAGTTGCTTTTACTGTGCAGATGCTCTTTAGTTTAATTAGATCCCATTTGTCTATTTTAGCTTTAGTTGCCATTGCTTTTGGTGTTTTAGTCATGAAGTCCTTGCCTATGCCTATATCCTGAATGGTATTGCCTAGGTTTTCTTCTGGGTTTTTTATGGTGTTAGGTCTCATGTTTAAATCTTTAATCAATCTGGAGTTAATTTTTGTATAAGGTGTAAAGAAGGGATCCAGTTTCAGTTTTCTGCATATAGCTAGCTAGTTTCCCCAACATCATTTATTAAACAGGGAATCCTTTCCCCATTGCTTGTTTTTTTTCAGGCTTGTCAAAGATCAGATGTTTGTAGATGTGTGTTGTTATTTCTGAGGCCTCTGTTGTGTTCCATTGGTCTATATCTCTGTTTTGGTACCAGCACAATGCTGTTTTGATTACAGCAGCCTTGTAGTATAGTTTGAAGTCAGTTAGCATGGTGCCTCTAGCTTTGTTCTTTTTGGTTAGGATTATCCTGGCTGTGCACGCTCTCTTTTGATTCCATATGAAGTTTAAGGTCGTTTCTTCCAATTCTGTGAAGAAAGTCAATGGTAGCTTGATGGGGATAGCATTGAATCTATAAATTACTTTGGGTAATATGGCCATTTTCACAATATTGATTCTTAACCGCGAGCATGGAATGTTTTTGCATCTATCTGTTTGTGTCCTCTCTTATTTCCTTGAGCAGTGGTTTGTAGTTCTCCTTGAAAAGGTCTTTCACATCTCTTGTGGATGATCCACACTGGCAGAATCGCAAGATGAGAGAGGATGTTGCTTGCTTGGGCAATGACACGATGAAGGGCATTCAGAGGGAAAGTTCACCACAGCCTGGCTGTCGTCATGCTTATGCAGTAGTAATTGCTGAGGATAGCAGCTGGAGGGAAGACTGAGTATGAGGCCGGAGTGGTGTTGTGAATATAGCAAACCAGGCTGTAGAGTTTTGAGTTTGTCTTGCAGCCTATCGGGTGGTGGAGTGGAA